ACAATCGATATGTGATCCATTGTTGATCTGCACACAGCTGTTGTCACTAACGGCGCACTCGCTTTACGTCACTGTCGTGAGACATTCGCAAAGAATCACGGTTTTAGTAACGCAGCGTTCCTACGGGAAAGTAACGATAATCTAATTACTGTTTTTGCAATAGTAATCCCTTACTTTACTCGTTACTCGAAAAAAGTAATCAGATTACAGTAACGCGCCCATCTCTGCTTACGTAGTCAGCTACTTCCGTGCAACTGATATAAGATGCGGTAAGCTAAACACAGCTTCAACCGTTTGTTTGTTGAAAAATAGTAACGGACCGCATTTTTTTGTTAGTGACTGTAACGGCATTGTAACGATAAGAATAGTAATTAGTTAGATTACTCGTTACTGAAAAACGTAACGCTGTTAGTAACGCCGTTACTTGTAACGCCGTTATTCCCATCACTGGTTTTAAGACATGACAGGAATTGACAGGGACAGCCAGTCACTCATGATGAAACACAGCTGAGATTTGAAAAATAGTGACTGTGAGTGGCTGGCAAAAAAGTAGATGTACAGTTATCAAGAACATTACCTCTATCCCTGGCATAGATTTGTTTTGGATTTATTCCCAGTAATAAAGTTGAGCACACCAAAATGAATGAAGGTGTGTTCACCATTTTAAAGTAAGTAATAGTGATGGTAAATTTGATTCTTTTTACTGAATCGAGTTTTAATGAGTCACTCACCAAAGTGATTCGGATTTTTTGAGTCATTTGATTCACTGAGTCAGTTGACCAGAGAGTGCAAAAAATTTACATTTTCACTCAAACTTAATTTGTTTCTCTTTTCATGTAAATCCCACTGCTAAGATGAATGATTCTAAAAAAAAAAACCAACTATTTTATAGAGCAAAAAAGAGCAAAAACATTTCTAAAATTAAGCAATTTCCTATCAAAATTGCTTAATAAACATCTGTTTTTGTTTTTTTATTAGTATTTTCCTTAAATGTGTTAAATATATATATTTTCTCATCTAAATGTCCACTGAGCTGTGAGCCAGGGGGCGGTAATGCGCCTTAACATTGGGTGCCAACCAAGAAGAAGAAGCTGTGAGCCAGGAGGGAGGGGGTGAGTGAGTGAGTGATTCGTTCCCTCGCTCTATGATTCAGCACAGGAGGGAGGGGGTGAGCGAGTCCTGAGTGATTCGCTTAAGCTTACGATTCAGCACAGGAGGGAGGGGGTTAGTGAGTCCTGAGTGATTCGCTTACGATTCAGCACAGGAGGGAGGGGGTGAGCGAGTCCTGAGTGATTTGCTTATGCTTACGATTCAACACAGGAAGGGAGGGGGTGAGTAGCTCAAATGTGTTGTTAGCATGTTAGCAGAGCGATGCTACTGTAAACCGAGGAGCTATTTTCTTGATGTGAGCTTCTACTCAGGGTTTTTTCTTCCAGTTCAGAGCAGAAATGCTTTTGTTAAGAAACTGGCTGTTGTTCCCCTCCGCAATTTTAATTATAAGCGAGATATATTTCTACTAAGCGAATTAGTTTGCTAACAGAAACAGGGATGAGTCAGTGAGTCAGTTGGGCTTGTGTGTCATGATTCACGAGTCAGTAAAGTGATTCTCGAGTTTTGAACGATTCGTTCACGAATCGAACATCACTAGTAAGTAATTTGTTACTTCGTTACATTTGTTAATACTGGGAGAATAAGAAAATAGATAGGCTAGTGGATATTTTCCCGAAAATCTTTAAAGAAAAACTATTTTCCATCATTTACTACTTTAACCAGGATGGTGGTGTGGTGGTTCTGTGGTACACAGGACCACCACACACCATTGTTAAGGCTACACAGCAGGTACAGCTGACCACACAATATACCTCTGACCACAGTGGCCAAAGGGTGTGAGAGTAAGGCAGGAAAATACTGCTTTTCAGCCTCGTGTTGTCCTACTCTTTAATATCTGTAGCTGTAATTAGTACACTTACAATATCCCTTTTGTCATTCCTCTTTTTATTTTAGATGCAGGGCACAGTGGGTCAGCGCAGCAGGACTACTGTGGCCTACATTGTTCCAGTAGTTGGAATATGTGCTGCTGCTTTCCTTCTTACCAATATCTTCATTTACCTCTATCTGGACTCTGTGTATCAGCCTGGTTTGCAGCAAGTTTCACCTCTGGTGGGCTGTGTGCCTCAACACTTTAAAATGCCAACCATGAAAGACTGCACCGCCTGGCTCCAGTGTTTACAAATAAATGCTGAAGTACACGAGCTGAAGCTGATTGACCAGGGAGCAGTGAAAAAGGTAGACAGATTTTTATATATATGTATATGTGTGTGTGTGTATTGGCTAAGTTTGTATGTGTATCAAATAAATGTAATGTCAAGAGATTCCATGTTAATTTCCCATTGTAACTTTAGCAACTTATCATAGTTGTGACACTGGACAACATGTCACAACAAAATACAAAGTACGCTGATGTTATACAGATCCCACATTGTTTAATGTTCAAAAAAGAAAGTTTTAGGGCAAATTGCTTGTAACTTAATTGTAACATTCACATTCGTTGCCATGAAAAAAAAATCTCTCTTGAGCTCTTGAGAGTGCCTCTTGATGAGGTGCAGAGGTGGACGATGAACTCTACCTGGATGTCTATTGTCTCATGTAGTCTTTTACTGAATTCACTAAATGCCAGAGTGGGTGTAATTTACCTCTGCAGTGGAGTCGGGGGGGTCGCCCCATGCTCTGTGGTGGTGCTACTGCTGTGGGCCCGTGTCTTGAGTCGCCTGGGCCCCCTGCTTTTGATGGCTTCTGGGGAATGAGGGTGACTATGGGGGTCAACAGGGGAGCTGATATTTGATTTTATTGTATTTAAATAAAATAAAATTGATGATAATAATAATAAGATTGAATGAAATATGACATTCAAGTGGACCAGTATAGCAAAAGCCGTAATGGTCTACTTGGTAAAATAAATCTGTTGGGCATTTTTCTTGGCCTTTAGACCAATTGCTACAGTGTCAGACGGGACATACAAAAAGAAGAAGAAAAAAAAGCATAAATAAAGCTAAAATAATTGATTATGTCATAAAGTAATACATGGCAGGTTTGTACAGTTAAAAATACAGATTTTGTTAAAAATATTAATTTTTATCATTGGCAACAGTCAGTAGACCTTGTGAATCTCATCTATTTTGTTTTCTTTCCTCAGGTTTATTTGGCAGAGTGGAGAGGCCAGAAGGTAGCTCTGTCAAGGCTATCATCTCTCAATTACTTGGAGGATTTTCTCCATGGATTGTCAATGTTACAGGCCCTGCAGAGCCCCCAGGTGGTTCAATTGGTGGGGTTTTGCCTTGAAGAGCACATCATTTTGACAGAACACCACCCGTTTGGCTCATTGCTTAATCTGGATGATGTTCTTGAAAAAGAGCATTACCAGCAACACAACAATTGGGAGATGCGGCTGAGGCTAGCTATAGATTACGTCACCATCCTCCATTACCTTCATAACAGCCCAGTTGGGCGACGAGTTATGTGCGATTCAAACAGCCTTGAGAAAACTCTGTCCCAATTTCTACTGACAAATGACTTTCATCTAGTAGTGAATGACCTTGATGCACTTCCTGAAGTGGATATGTCCAGAAACTTGTCAGTGAAATGTGGCCATCGGGAGGTCACTGGAGATTTTGTTGCCCCAGAGCAGCTATGGCCATTCAGAAACAATGGAAAGCCATTTTCAGACAATCTCATGCCAGAGTATGATGAGAAGACCGATATTTGGAAGATCCCAGATGTGACGTGGTTCCTTATGGGAAAGGTACCTGGTGGGGATTTAGTCCATTTCCATCTTTTTCAGATCCATGAGAAGTGCAAGAAGAAGGATCCCACCGACCGCCCTTCAGCTTTTGATGTTTTGAAGGTTTACAAATCAGTCTACAGCAGCATGGTACGAGACAGTGCTGGGTTTAGAGATATGCTGTAGAGCAGCAGTCCCAAACCCCTGCCACATTGATCAACATCCAATGATCAAAGACCCGGACCAATGACTTTACCTTTTTCACATAAATAGCCTCCTTGACTCCACACTCAAACCAGTGTGTCTCACTATCCAGGATGTGTAAGTGCTATGTCCAGATGAACAGATAAGATGTGGTCCCAAATGGAGCTATTTTATTTCATTTTAGTTATTTACATATACTAATGGCAAGGATCCAGTTTGATTATAAATAGATTTATTAGAGGTTGAATTAGTCTGCTACAGTGGATCATAATGGCTTGTCAGTGGCTTTATCAGTGAACAAGACATTGTTTTAATTTTTTTTATGCTTCTTACCCTGAAAACAATCTAATAAGTAGCCTTTTTTTTTTTACAGAGAAAAGAGCAGTTAATTATACAGAACAACCAACAATCTGCAGCCTACCTGGGTCTCACTTGCTGTTCGTTTAAATTAGCAGTTTAGAATGTTTAGAATAAATGGTAGATCACAAAAAGTTAGGATAAACCTGCTCTTTACATTTCCCATTGTTTAGATAATTTTCCCCTTTGGTTGATATTTTAAATCCCATATGGACCAAGGTTTGTTACCTGGTTCTAAAAACGAATAGAAAATAGAAAATGCAATGTTTGTTTTCTCGTGATTTGAACTGTTCTGTTTTCTTATTCCACCTTATGGCTGGAATAGTATAATGTTCAGACATTATTTATTTATTTGTAACCGCATCAAAGACATATACATTAAATATTGAAATTCAACCTCATGGTTACTTCTCCGTTTAGGTGACATAGTACACTTTTGATTGATCAGGTCTGTGAATATGTAACCATTTATGACTATTACTATAAGAAATGGACATTAATCAAATTTAAAAAGCCACTTTTTGTTTTTTGAGTCTTATTTGTTTTGGGATATGGATGCTGGGCTTTGGGGTAGACATTTTCTTTATATGTAGGGAGTAATACTGACTAGTTGGCTTCGATAGAGGTGTGCTTGCCGTTGACAAAGACCCATCTGACTCAGCATCATCAGGATATCTCTGTGAAATGCCTTTGTCAAGATAGCATAAAAAAATGGGTTGGTGCAAGAGTTGAGAGGATAGAAAAGAACCAGCAGCACCTGTTGAGAAAAAGACATAACCCTTATTATAAATGAGGGAGGGAGGGGGGGGGGTGCATTAAATATTACAAGTATGTAAAGTTATACCTTGGAATCTGTGACAGTTATCATCGGGTGGTGGAAAGCTGCAGACAGGCCGTAGAAACAAATGGGAGCCAGACATAAAAAGTTGGTGAAAATAATAACAGCCATACGTTTGGCCATGCTCGCGTCGTATCTGCTGGAGTTATGATTGGGATTGTGTACCATAAAATAGATGTGGATGTAACATAAGCATACTACCATAAAAGCAGTGACATTAACAATCAAGACAGAAATAATGTATGTCTGTGCAGCAGTTGTCCCAGTGTCTATAGGTAAGCAGATGCTTACTTTCTGGTAACTGCTCACACCAACTACTGGCAGCAGTGCAAGAAACGCACACAACAACCAGCCAACAAGCATTATCACAGATGCATGACGCAACCTCATTTTTCTGTCTGGCCTGATAGCTGAGAAGATGGCATTCCAGCGCTGAAGACTGATTAGAGTTAATGTGAACACAGACAACTCACTGGCAAACACAGATAATATTCCTACTATATTGCAGCCACTTCCTGTTTGCCAGGTAATCGCATAGTGATGATAATTGGAGCGTGTGTAGAAATCCACAAATGCAATGACCAGCAAGTAGAACCCCATACAGCAATCTGCAAATGCCAGATGACCTATAAGAAAACGGGTAACAGACATTTTCTGTCGACTGGTCAACAGGATGAAGAGCACCAATAGGTTTGCTGAAATGGCAAATAAACTGACGACCCAGACCAATATCCTGAGGATGTCTTTACTCATCACATCTTCACAGGGGTTCAAAGCATCAGGCAGGGGGGTGCATGAGGGTCCATCATCTGCGTCAAGTTCATTACACAGCGAAAAGTCAAAAACTTCACTGAGATGCTCTGAATATGTTTTTACATAGAACAAAGTATCATCCTGAGACTTCTTGGTTGGGCAAATCAGTTTGTTGGGATTGCTATTTGCACTGCCATGAGTTGGAATACCAAACTTTTTAGATTTCAGATGTTGTGAGATGTTGTACTCCAGATACCTCTGAGAGAGCATTGCAGAAGACAGCTGCAGCTTTCCTGAAGTAGCCCATGTCAGGTTGCAGATAACTGCCTCAGAGTGTCTTGCACAGAAATGAAAAGAGTTATTTTTCAGGGAATGAATTACAAGCATATTTTCAAATACAAATTTTGTGACGAAAGTGGGTTGTTGTTTAACCACATTTACAGTGGGGCAAAAAAGTATTTAGTCAGCCACCGATTGTGCAAGTTCCCCCACTTAAAATGATGACAGAGGTCAGTAATTTGCACCAGAGGTACACTTCAACTGTGAGAGACAGAATGTTAAAAAAAATATCCTTGAATCCACATGGTAGGATTTATAAAGAATTTATTCGTAAATCAGGGTGGAAAATAAGTATTCGGTCAATAACAAAAATACAACTCAATACTTTGTAACATAACCTTTGTTGGCAATAACAGAGGTCAAATGTTTACTATAGGTCTTTACCAGGTTTGCACACACAGTAGCTGGTATTTTGGCCCATTCCTCCATGCAGATCTTCTCGAGAGCAGTGATGTTTTGGGGCTGTCGCCGAGCAACACGGACTTTCAACTCCCGCCACAGATTTTCTATGGGGTTGAGGTCTGGAGACTGGCTAGGCCACTCCAGGACTTTCAAATGCTTCTTACGGAGCCACTCCTTTGTTGCCCGGGCGGTGTGTTTTGGATCATTGTCATGTTGGAAGACCCAGCCTCGTTTCATCTTCAAAGTTCTCACTGATGGAAGGAGGTTTTGGCTCAAAATCTCACGATACATGGCCCCATTCATTCTGTCCTTAACACGGATCAGTCGTCCTGTCCCCTTGGCAGAAAAACAGCCCCATAGCATGATGTTTCCACCCCCATGCTTCACAGTAGGTATGGTGTTCTTGGGATGCAACTCAGTATTCTTCTTCCTCCAAACACGACGAGTTGAGTTTATACCAAAAAGTTCTACTTTGGTTTCATCTGACCACATGACATTCTCCCAATCCTCTGCTGTATCATCCATGTGCTCTCTGGCAAACTTCAGACGGGCCTGGACATGCACTGGCTTCAGCAGCGGAACACGTCTGGCACTGCGGGATTTGATTCCCTGCCGTTGTAGTGTGTTACTGATGGTGACCTTTGTTACTTTGGTCCCAGCTCTCTGCAGGTCATTCACCAGGTCCCCCCGTGTGGTTCTGGGATCTTTGCTCACCGTTCTCATGATCATTTTGACCCCACGGGATGAGATCTTGCGTGGGGCCCCAGATCGTGGGAGATTATCAGTGGTCTTGTATGTCTTCCATTTTCTGATGATTGCTCCCACAGTTGATTTTTTCACACCAAGCTGCTTGCCTATTGTAGATTCACTCTTCCCAGTCTGGTGCAGGTCTACAATACTTTTCCTGGTGTCCTTCGCAAGCTCTTTGGTCTTGGCCATGGCGGAGTTTGGAGTCTGACTGTTTGAGGCTGTGGACAGGTGTCTTTTATACAGATGATGAGTTCAAACAGGTGCCATTCATACAGGTAACGAGTGGGGGACAGAAAAGCTTCTTACAGAAGACGTTACATGTCTGTGAGAGCCAGAGATTTTCCTTGTTTGAGGTGACCAAATACTTATTTTCCACCCTAATTTACGAATAAATTCTTTACAAATCCTACCATGTGGTTCATGGATTTTTTTTTCACATTCTGTCTCTCACAGTTGAAGTGTACCTCTGGTGCACATTACTGACCTCTGTCATCATTTTAAGTGGGGGAACTTGCACAATCGGTGGTTGACTAAATACTTTTTTGCCCCACTGTAAATTGTAAATAAAAACAATGCAATAATCTTCAAATCATTTAAAGCCTATTTTTAATTAAAAATGCAAAGGCAAGTGACCATATGTGCTTTTTTTTGTTACTATTAAAACAGTTAGGACATAGTCTATGTTTACCACTGAGTTTCATTATCTCTTCTTTTAAGAACACTGTAAATGAAAGTCTTTTTACATTAACTATTCCTGTGATTTTTGTCATATTTTTCTATTTCATAAAATAGCTTTTGAATTGTTAAGAGGTTTGGAACACAGGCAGGTCAAGTTAGCACCTACATGCTTTACTCTGGACTGTTGTTATACATTCAGAATTTGGTTTGGCTATCATTCAAATAAACATGTGTTTCTCCAAAGCCACACTCAACATTAATGGAGATGTACAAGATATGTACATTAATGAACCCCATAGATGTTGACTTTTAAACTGTGCCCTAATAACATGTCCCTCTCCTCTTAAGCCAGAGGATGTGATGTCCGTGATTTCTTTTGAGTTTCTGATGTGGAAGTCATGCAATGAATTTGAAATAAAGCCTGATTTTTGTCATTATGCAACTTTTCCAATTTTTTTTCTAACTCACTTTAATTTAAACTTGCTGTTGTATTACATTTAAAGTTATAATTAGTGTATCAATATGAACATTTATTATGTTGTCTTTGCACTATTTTAAATAGAATGTAAATTTGCAAATAATATTTTTTTTCCTTTTTTGGAAATGTGTTTATTACACCATGAATTACTACATGTGATGCAAAGTATAAAAAGTAAAAACCCATAATGGTTTTCACTTGTCACTTTGTGATGTCAGAGTGTTGGATCTTGTCTGAGATACAGACAGTACTCGACAATAGTTTCCACCTAAAGACTAAAATAGTCTTAAAAAGTATAACATAATATGTAGTATTATAACCACATTGTGATAGCCATCGCAACAGTCAAAAAACAGCAATTAATCACAACAATATATAAACAACACACATTGCAAGTTGTTATGACCTTATGTAGGGTTTGATGTTACAATTAGCTCACTTTTTTGTTTCTGTAAATTTATAGCAGTCATTGAGCAGGTTATATAGGACAGCATAGTGAATGTTAAGTCAGTATAAATTCTGTGTAATGTTTGGCTAAAGATGGAAACAGACAAAACAAAAGCTGCAATCTACAGTGCATCTTTTTTCAACTGTCAAATGTTTAAATGCTAAATTATTGCCATGTTCTAAGTAACTATTTTTTCATACACTAAAATTTTTAGCTAGTAGCTAGTTACAGCTTTTGAGAATAACCAAAGCCTAATACTATGGACATTACAACAGAAAGGAGAAAGGGGTACACAAGTAAAAGAAAAACAGGGAATATTTTCCCAAGACTTACCCTTGCCCTCTTTTCAGCATTTTAAGACCACAGCAATGGCTTGGGAAGGTCAATTCAGCGCTTTGTAAGTGAACAAAAGCTCTTAAGGGGGGCAGCATTTTTAAGGCCCATGTGTTTTTAGCTTGGAGCTTTTCAATGTTCTTCATACCTTTTGATGGTAAAGAGTGTACTTTGGTATCTGAAAGATCTCTGGATTGACAGACAAATAGTTAAGAATTAATTCATTGGGCTACAGAGCTCTCTCTCTCTCTCTGTCTTTCTCTGTCTTTATATAAAGGAAGGGTGGGAGAGAGAATAAAAGAGCGAGAGAGAGAGAGAGAGAGAGAGATTTTTGTCAAGAACACTTTGTCTTTTGTGAATTCTGTACTCACAGGTGAGTTGGGCCTTGAATCACACCATAAAATGCAAATTCCTCTATTTGTTCTAAATCCAAATTCCTATCAAGATACCTGAATATTTGGGAAAAGATGGGGAACAAAATGACATGATAAAAACTATTTAGTTTTACCAAACCTTCAGTTTTAAAATGTATTTTTTTCTGAAAAGTGTGTTTAGTAAAATGAAAC